TGGGTGTTGGCTCTCGGTACTGCGTACTCGTTTGCCCTACTGGCTCTGGCCAACTTGATCTGAGCCTTGTGCGAAGCGCTTGGTAAGCAAGGCTCAGGTCGATAGCTCTGTTGATTGTGTTAGTGGAGGAGCAACTTTCCAGCACTAGCCTGGCCATTTTCTCATTGGCCCTGCCGATCACCCTCGATTTCTCAAAGGCGAATTCGTGTTTGAGCTGTTGCACATGGCCATAGACTAGAGACAACTTGTCCTTGCGATTGAATGCAACTTGATGTTCGTGCAATCTTGTGCCCAGGCGTTTGCCCGTCCCTCCAACATACCTCGCCTCGCAGTTTTTGCATGATAGGCTGTAGACTACGGCTGATTTCTCGGTTGCTGGGCGGGTCTTTGGGCTTCATGATTTGTTGTCTGATTGTGAAATCTGGTCTATGCGCCACTCCAATCCCAAACGGTTCTAGGATTCGTGCAGTCGCCTCTGACACGTTTATCACGTAGGAGATGGCGAGCCAGAGTTTTGGCTTTTCTTCTTCGCTCGACCGATGAACGCGATGCTTCTTTAGGCACTTGCAGATGAAGGACTTCGGATAATCATTGGCTTTGAAAAGGGCATGTAAGTACTTCATCTCCTCCTGCGTCCCACTGTCGTTGCTACAGTGTGTTTGAAAACGTCGGAAGAGGGTTCTGACTGGTGTTAGTTGCCTTACGGTAGACTGTTGTCCTTATTATTTTAATATACTTCTTTAACTTTGATGGTATATAACCCAACTAAAGCTCAAACTAAACTAATAAATTATATCCTTAACCAAGCTAAAACTTAAAGTAACAATAGGACTAGGAACTAGAGATATCTAAGGAGGACGACCAATTTTTACCCAGAAATACATTTCAGTCAGTCAGTATATTTGAGGGAAAAATAAGCTTGCGCCTTTGAACTCCCTTTGAACTCATTTGACAGCTTTCGTCAAAATTTTAAGAGAATTTGCGTTTAAAAAAGTTGACAAGGTGTTCTCTCGTCATCCACCGGACTGTTTATCGCTATGACGCTAATGACTCTTGTAGGATACACAATGGGCGATGGATTGGCCAACTATTGCTTCCTAATAAAGTGGACATCTTAGGAGTGCCGTGTACATCTTGTAGTAATTCCTTCCTCTGATTTTTTATAAATTGCCTTTTTTCGAAACGTAAGTAAAGATAGAGGAGATTTGAATCAGTCCTGATCCCCATCGATTTCATTCCGTCTATGCGTTTAGATCCTTTGAAAACTCTAAAGAAAAGTGCTACCCATACTGGCCGGTTTCAAAACAAGTAGAGAGCGAGGAAGACATCGTCGAAAAAACTATTGGACATTTTTGTATTCGCCTTCAGACGCAAGAAAACGGAGTCTCCTTCATTCGTCGAATCCTTGTAATCATTAACCAGGTAAATTATTCTTGTATTTTGGTCCTCATATGGACTGCAGCTAACTGAATTTTGTAACGTGGGGGCATATGCTCGTCACAGGATCAGTAATAGTAATGGCCTAGTTGCTATTTATACTAGAAAGGGAGATAAGCTTCATTTTGCAAATATCACCCCCACAATCTTCAGCAAAAAAACGTCTTCCATTCGAAAGGAATAAACTTAGGCACATAAATTAACAACACCGGGAAATCGAAAGTAATCCATAATCGCCACATGACTGCAGTTTTTGAAATCGTGGATAAATGTCCTTAGAAGAGTCGTTAAATATAGGCCAAATTAGACTGCTTTCAAAACGGCGCTGACGTCGTGACCCCGTGCGCTCATGACCTAATCGTAGTTCGAATAAAAAGAGAGATGCAAATCGCTTTATAATGGACGAAGTAAGCTAACCGACATATATATAAATTTACATGCGAGTGGAGAGAAGACAAATAGCTGCTCAGGTTGAAAAGCCCTCCACTACATGCGAACATGTAAGACCCAGGAGGTTATTTAGAAGGAACAGATGCGATCGTTGGGACAAACATTTTATTCGGCTGTCGTTTCGAAATCCGTTGCGGATCCATCTGCTATTGTCTCTGATGATGTATACGCGACAGATTTCGAAACGCCAGGCGTACAGCTGACCCAATTTTATATGGTGTTTGCCGCACCAACCTCTGTTATTTATCAGCTGATGTTCAAAGTGTGACCGTAAAACACATTTTTTTCCACTTAGACTTCATAAACTAGTACTGCATTTTGTATGTGGTCTTCAAACATTTTATGAAGTCTATAATTTCTGAATTCCGCACATTCCTGTGTACAGGGGAGACAGTTGCAGCTCAAACATACTTTTATCCATCTGCCTGTTCTGTACCTTCTCTCTTTATGTGGTGTATACGCGACATGCACGATAAAAACTCCTCAATCGTTGGTATTCCTGAAATTCCTCTTCACTTATATAGGATCGCAAAATAGCACTCTGTGTTCTGTACTCCATAGAAAAAATTAGAAAACAGGATGCAACTCTGTCACTTAGGTCTGTAGCATGTAGGTCGGAAGCAGCCTATCATCATGTGAATAAAGACTGGCCTAGGCAAAGCCCCTAACAGATCTCATGCAATGCTAGCTAAAAGGTTAAAATTCGTCTTAGGTGAGGAGTGATTAGTTAGGTGGAACCGAAATATTTCATATCCTTAATTAACTGCAAGCATGCTGGACCTTAGACAAACGTCTTTTTCATCTTCTGGAGAAACCTCAGCTGACTCAAATGACTACTTAAGCAGTGTACAGTGTACATTTCCTACAGATTTTCGATGCATTTTCAGTTCACATTCATCGTATAGAAAACAAAAGCAAGAGCATTCCTTTCGTACTCATTTAATAGCATGCCACGTCTTCTGCAAACTCTAGACTCAAGGGGGAGGAGGCATGCTTAAGTTTTAAAAGGTCTTCCAATTTCCGAATGTCTTTGAGCCCGATTGGTGGTTGCATTTGTGGTTGGGCTTTCGGTCTGCAAGCTATGTGTTTACCGTTAAAAGAATATCATGCATTCCTGTACGTCCTTAAAATATAGTGTTGACATCATTTTCTAATGGGTGTAGACTATACCGTGTACTTAATGAGAGGCATCAATAAACAGATACGATCCGATTTGAATGGAAATTGCACAGTCCTGGAGACAGTGCAGTACCTTGATTTGCTATAAAATGACTACGAAAGTAATATTTTTTTGCTTTTTCTTCTCATAAAATATATTTGAAAATCGAAAATCCTTAAAAAAATACAAACTGTTAAAGGAGTAATTTTTATCGAGTGAGGCTTCTTTGGGAGACTGGAGGGATGCTCATTCAACCGCCGTGTGCTTGCAATATCTGGGCATTTTGATCCATGGGCGTAATTCATACACTAAAATTCATTTTGTAATTTTTAATTAACATTGTATGGTGACTGAATTTGTATATTCAAAACACGCAGTATGGTGGCTACTCGAAAGACGTTAGTATTTCAGTGACCAAGTAGTCGTTGGGCTTAGTGCACTGCAAACCGACTTCCGCGTTGAAGGCGAGAGTCACCGAAATGAGGGATTTTTGTGTGCACAGAACTCCCAGTTGCTATCTCAGGGGGCATTGGCCACTGGCAAAGCCAGGGCTAGTGTTGACTGCGTCCAGCCGGACCTGAGTGTGCGTGAAAGAGAAAGAATGGCAGCTGCTTTTACATGACTGTGAAGCAATTTCAAACGATGTGCGATTGGTGTGTTGCACTGTCCGAGAGGGGTGTCGAGTATAGTGGACCCTGCTGCATCCGCCGAGGGGTGGTGTGTTCAAGGAGACCTTTGGC